AGTTATTTAATGTTCCCACACAAAGGTAAAAAAAGAAGGAAGTCCAAACAGAGTACATGTTCGGTTTGTTATTGCGTAATGCTGCTGGGTTACTCTTCTCTTAGAACGTGATCTTGGGTCATTGTATTCTGTTTGTGAATTTAAATTTGTTTGTGAAACAAAACCAAAAATAAATGCTTTGTAATATTATTTGTATTTTTTTCTAAATACGAACTAAATATTTAGTCATTGTTTAAATATTAAATTACAAAATGAATTTGACACCTGTAAATAGAATTTAGTAATTCAATAACAAAAAAAAAAACAGTAAGGAAAGTAGTAAAGTCGGACGGGGCCGACTATATGATACCCTTCACCACTATGGGTATATTAAACAGGACTATTAACATGTAATTGGATGAAAAAAAAATATGTGATATTTATCTAAATGTGAATCTACCTAGATCTATCCATAAAGTATGTTAATCGACTTCAAACAAATATAAATAAGTCATCCGTTGGGCTATGTCTGTACTTCTAGAAAACGCAACTACGTAATTCTATGCTCAATTTTGTACGTTGTGCACAATTTGATGTCAATCTGACTAACATGAGGAATTTGATGCCCAACTTACTTGAAATCGGGCGAAAATATATATGGAAGCTCTATCCAAATATTAAGCGATTTCAAACAAACTTGTCACAGGTTAGGTTATACTAATTTCAGAACGTTTTGTTCCTATTGGCTCCTTGGTGTGTCAATTACTTAAAATCAATCTATAATAAAAGGGAGCTATATCTAAATCTGGACCGATTTTCACGAAACAAGGCAGATATCACTCTAGGCTCAATTCAGTACGTTATGCCAAATTTCATGCAAAACGAAAGATATATAGCGACTTTGGTGCACCATTTACATGAAATCGGACGAAACTATATGTGGGAGCTATATAGAAATCTGGACCGATTTACTCGAAACTTGGCAGACATCACTCTAGGCACAATTCAGTACGTTATGCTAAATTTCGTGCAAACCGAAGGATGTATAGGGACTTTGGGGCACCATTTACATGAAATCGGACGAAACTATATATGGGAGCTATATCTACATCTGGACCGATTTTCGGGAAACTTAACAACACACACAAATTTCGTGCAAATCGAAAGTTATATAGGGACTTTGGTCCACCATTTACATGAAATCGGACGAAACTATATATGGGAGCTATATCTAAATCTGGACCGATTTTCACGAAACTTGGCAGACATCATTCTAGACCTAAATGATTAGGGTGTACCGAATTTCGTGCAAATCGAAAGATATATAGAGACTTTGGGGCAACATTTACATGAAATCGGACGAAACTATATATGGGAGCTATATCTAAATCTTGACCTTTTTTCACGAAACTTGGCAAACTTCATTCTAGACTCAATTCAGTACGTTATGCCAAATTTCGTGCAAATCGCAAGATATATGTGGTGCACCATTTACAAGAAATCGGACGAAACTATATATGGGAGCTATATCTAAATCTGGGCCGATTTTCACGAAACTTGGCAGACATCATCATAGACCCAAATATTAGGCTGTACCAAATTTCGTGCAAATCGAAAGATATATAGGAACTTTGGGGCACCATTTACATGAAATCGGACGAAACTATATATGGGAGCTATATCTAAAACAGGACCGATTTTCATGAAACTTGGCAGATATCATTCTAGGCTCAATTCAGTACGTTATGCCAAATTTAGTGCAAATCGGAAGAAATATAGGGACTTTGGGGCACCATTGACATGAAATCGAACAAAACTATATATGGGAGCTATATCTAAAACAGGACCGATTTTCATGAAACTTGGCAGATATCATTCTAGGCTCAATTCAGTACGTTATACCAAATTTCGTGAAATTCGAAGAATATATAGGTACTTTGGTGCACCATTTACATGAAATCGGACGAAACTATATATGGGAGCTATATCTGAATCTGGACCGATTTTCTCGAAACTTGGCGGACATCACTCTAGGCTGAATTCAGTACCTTATGCCAAATTTCGTGCAAATCTCAAGATATATAGGGACTTTGGGGGCACCATTTAGATGAAATCGGACGAAACTATATATGGGACCTATATCTAAGTCTGGACCGATTTTTACGAAACTTGGCAGACATCATTCTAGACCTTAATGATTAGGCTGTACCAAATTTCGTGCAAATCGAAACATACATAGGGACCGTTTCCATTAAATCGGTTAAATATATATATGGGAGCTATATCTAAATCTGAACCGATTTTTCCCAATTTCAATAGGATTCGTCCTTGGGCCAAATAAGTGACCTGTGCTAAATTTCATCCAATTCGGATTATAAATGCGACCTGTACTTTGTTTACAATTTTACATCGACAGACAGACGGACGGACGGACATGCATAAATCGACTCAGAAAGTGATTCTATGCATATTCTCAAAAGGAACCATGTGTCTATCTCGTTTCCTTTTGCCTGTTACAAACATATGCACAAAGACATAATACCCTGTACCACAGTGTGGTGAAGGGTATAAAAATATGCAAAATTGAAATAATGTACATTAAGGTGGGTATATGTTTTGAATTAAATTAAACGAAGGAAATTATTTTTGTTAATATTTTGTTCCTAAGAAAATATTATTCGTATATTTAGTCCTATAGAAAATATTATCCTTAATTTTTTATTACAGCAAATATTATGGGGTCATAGAAAATATTATCAGGATAATTTTTTCCTATAGATTATATATTTATACCCTTCACCACACTGTGGTACAGGGTATTATGTCTTTGTGCATATGTTTGTAATAGGCAAAAGGAAACGAGATAGACACATGGTTCCTTTTGAGAATATGCATAGAATCACTTTCTGAGTCGATTTACACATCCGTCCGTCCTTCCGTCCATGTATTTTTGTTAACAAAGTACAGGTCGCATTTATGATCCGATTTGGATGAAATTTGGTATACGTCACTTATTTGGCCCACCGATATATATTTTCGTACGATTTAATGTAAATGGTACACCAAAGTCCCTCTATATGTCTCGATTTGCACGAAATTTGGCACAGTGTAATGAATTAGGTATAGTATGTGTTAAGTTTCCTGAAAATCGGTTCAGATTTAGATATAGCTCCCATATAGATTTTCGTCCGATTTAATGTAAATGGTGCACCAAAGTCCCTTTATATGTCTCGATTGGAACGAAATTTGGCACAGCGTAATGAATAAGCTCTAGAATGATGTCTGTCAAGTTTCGAGTCTGATGTCTGTCAAGTTGAAAATCGGTTCAGATTTAGATATAGCTCCCATATATATCTTCGTCCGATTTAAGGTAAATCGTATACCAAAGTCCGTATATATCTTTCGATTTGCACGAAATTTGTCACAGCGTAATGAATAAGGTCTAGAATGATGTATGCCAAGTTTCGTGAAAATCGGTTCAGATTTAGATATAGCTCCCATATATATTTTCGTCCGATTTTATGTAAATGGAGCACCAAAGTCCCTATATATCCTTCGATTTGCACGAAATTAGGCACAGCGTACTGAATTAATTCTAGAACGATGTGTGTTAAATTTCGTGAAAATCGGTTCAGATTTATATATAGCTCCCATATATATTTTCGTCCGATTTTATGTAAATAGGGCACCAAAGTCTCTATATATCCTTCGATTTGCACGAAATTTGGCACAGCGTACTGAATTAATTTTAGAACGATGTGTGTTAAATTTCGTGAAAATCGGTTCAGATTTAGATATAGCTCCCATAAATATTTTCGTCCGATTTTATGTAAATAGGGCACCAAAGTCCCTATATATCCTTCGATTTGCACGAAATTTGGTATATCATTCTGAATTAAGCCTAGAACGATGTGTGTTAAATTTCGTGAAAATCAGTTCAGATTTAGATATAGCTTCCATATATATTTTCGCCTGCTTTTAGATAAATAGTGCACCAAAGTCCCTAAATATCCTTCGATTTGCACGAATTTTGGATTTATAAGTAAATGAATAGTTCAAAATGTGGCCGAATGCAAAAAACATACTGAAATAAGTGTAACCTAACATGTGACAAGTTTCGATGAAATTGGTTTAGATTTCGATATTTTGCTTAAAATTTATTTACATAATTTTGTCCCATTGGAGGCAACTCTATATCTGACCAAAATTTTGTATAGGTTGCGGAATGGAATGTTTAATTTAATGTTAATGGTCCTTCAAAAATGCGACGTCTGTTAGGATTCCATCTGTTGAATATACCCAAAGTGGTGAAGGGTATCATATAGTCGGCCGGTCCGACTTTATTACTTTCCTTACTGGTTATATAGAATATTGGTCCCCTAACTTTTGAAAATATCATACTATTCATAGAAAATGTATTCTCTATAGGAAAAAAATTATTCAAAAGAAGCCCTTGTCAAAATACCCGGTCTTTCATAAAGAGAATACCACATTCCTATAAACTATAATGACATTGGGAATATTGATCTTCATCTTATGGAAGCCCGATTGGAAGGTTGGATGGAAAACAGATGCTTTACAACATAAGTTCCATGACCCACATATAGTATATCGTTGTCGTATCACCCACCTAAACAACCTTAAAAAAATATACAAGTACATAAACTCATCGCTGACAGAGAATACTGTTATTCACTTTCTAAACCAATGCTGTGTCGCATGCAATTTCAATTATTTCCGCGTTCACAAGGGATCCATCGAACTTGCTAACGAACTACCTATCGCAGGCGGAATAATTTCTCTCGCTGCACTCGAATCACGTACATTATTAAACGTCTCATTTCTAATTGTAAATGAAAAATCGCCATACATGTAATGTGAAATATCCCCGAGGTGTTGCCATTGTCTAATTTCTATATGGCGAAATTATTTTCATTTTGAAATATTTCATTTAAATACTGTCCGATTTTAAATACCACGTCTCATTATCGAATTGAAAATTACAATAACAATATCGTGTCATGAGGATTTCAATATTACTACTAGCGTGGCTAGTACCGTTTACAGGCTGCCTGACAAATCCAGGGCGTGACTTAGGATACAACGTTCAGCCATATCCGCCATTTTTACCGCCGCCACCGCCTCAGACCAGTCAACATTGGTATGGTTATCCATATGCGTACTCACATAACAAACGACCAACAACATCGATTATACGTCTATTGCTGGGCCATCATTCGCTGGGTCATCATTCTCTGGGCCATCACCCTCTGGGACATTATGCTCCAGTCTGCGGTATCTTAAATGGTGCCTTTAAAACATTTGTGAATCTTAATCATTTCCTGGAAGCTGTAAGACGTGGATATGGTAGTCACTCTCAAATATTATTTTCCCACCGACATGTTTATCTTCTTATGTTTATATCTAGCTTTCAGATTTTTCTGCAAGGGTCCCTGTCCCAAATCAGTTACCTCATGTTCATCCATTGAACTGATATGTGCCTTTGATGGGAAGTTCACAAAAACCTTCAAGAATACTTGTGAACTGCGTAAGGATGAGTATTTGACAGGGAGAGGTAAGTCACAACAAAGCCCTCACAAATTCACATTGTTACTTTACAATTTTTCTTTAAAGAATGGATTGTGGTTTCCGTTGGTCCCTGCTATCACGACATCACCGATATAACAACAATAAAGCCACCACCAATTATACAAACAACTGGTGCAATAGATACAACGACCGAAGCATTGTCAACTACCGATACTTCTGAAACAACAGTTGTTTTTGAGACAACTACCGATTCAGATACGACACCTTACTCAACCACACCTACATGGGAGGATACAACTGATGAATCAACCCATCCGACATTTGAAACCACAACACCAACGACAGACACAACATCTGATTGGGATTCAGGTGCAGGAGGAGGTGGAGAACATATCACAGACTCAACAACGACATCCACACCCGAAACGTCAACACCTCCCGACACAGAGACCACTACATTGCCGAGCTCCCAAACTACCAACCCTACACGTCCTCCGACGACACCACCATCTGGTTCTCTGACAACAACCACAATAGGACTTGAGGCTACTACTACGCCTACAACTTCTGGCTCTGAAACAACAACGCAATCAGATTCCGAAACTACAACTTCTTCTGGCTCTGGTACTACAACACCATCAGGCTCTGAGACTACAACTCCGTCTGGCTCTGGTGCTACAACGCCATCTGGTTCAGAGACTACACCACCATGTGGCTCTGACACAACAATACCATGCGGATCGGAGACTACAACTCCATCTGACCCTGAAAATACACCACCATCAGGCTCTGATACTACAACTCCTTCTGAATCTGGCGCTACAACACCATCCGTATCAGAGACTACACATCCATCTGGCTCTGACACTACAACACCATCAGGCTCTGAGACTACAACTCCTTCTGGCTCTGGTGCTACTACACCATCAGGTTCAGAGACAACACCACCATGTGGCTCTGGCACTACAACACCATGCGGATCGGAGACTACAACTCCATCTGACTCTGCAACTACAACACCATCTGGTTCAGAGACTACAACTCCATCTGGCTCTGGCGCTACAACACCATCTGGTTCAGAGACTACAACTCCATCTGGCTCTGGCGCTACAACACCATCAGGCTCTGAGACTACAACACCATCAGGCTCTGAGACTACAACTCCTTCTGGATCTGGCGCTACAACACCATCCGTATCTGAGACTACAGCTCCATCTGGCTCTGAGACCACAACTACTTCTGACTCTGAAACTACAACACCATCAGACTCTGAGACTACAACTCCTTCTGGCTCTGGTGCTACAACGCCATCTGGTTCAGAGACTACACCACCATGTGGCTCTGGAACTGCAACACCATGCGGAACGGAGACTACAACTCCATCTGACTCTGAAACTACAACACCATCAGGCTCTGAGACTACAACTCCTTCTGGCTCTGGTGCTACAACGCCATCTGGTTCAGAGACTACACCACCATGTGGCTCTGGAACTGCAACACCATGCGGAACGGAGACTACAACTCCATCTGACTCTGAAACTACAACACCATCAGGCTCTGAGATTACAACTCCTTCTGGCTCTGGTGCTACAACGCCATCTGGTTCAGAGACTACACCACCATCTGGCTCTGGCACTACAACACCATCCGGATCTGAGACTACACCACCATCTGGCACTACAACACCATCCGGATCTGAGACTACACCACCATCTGGCTCTGAAACTACAACACCATCAGGCTCTGAGACTACAACTCCTTCTGGCTCTGGTGCTACAACGCCATCTGGTTCAGAGACTACACCACCATGTGGCTCTGGAACTGCAACACCATGCGGAACGGAGACTACAACTCCATCTGACTCTGAAACTACAACTCCTTCTGACTCTGGAACTACAACACCATCAGGCTCTGAGACTACAACTCCTTCTGGCTCTGGTGCTACAACGCCATCTGGTTCAGAGACTACACCACCATGTGGCTCTGGAACTGCAACACCATGCGACTACAACTCCTTCTAGCTCTGGAAGCTACAAATCTGGGAGACTACAACTCCATCTGACTCTGACAACATACAACTTCTGGAACTACAACACCATCAGGCTCTGGACTACAACTCCTTCTGGCTCTGGTGCTACAACGACCATCTGGCTCTGGAACTGCAACACCAGAGACTACTACAACACCATCTGGCTCTGAAACTACAACACCGTCAGGCTCTGAGACTACAACTCCTCCTGGTTCTGGTGCTACAACGCCATCTGGTTCAGAGACTACACCGCCATGTGGCTCAGGAACTGCAACACCTGACGGAACTACAACTACAACACCATCAGGCTCTGAGACTACAACTCCTTCTGGCTCTGGTGCTACAACACCACCTGACTCTGAGACTACACCACCTCTGGTGGCATCTGGAGACTACACCACAACACCAACACCCGGATCTGAGACTACAACCACCATCTGGCTCTGAAACTACAACACCATCAGGCTCTGAGACTACAACTCCTTCTGGCTCTGGTGCTACAACGCCATCTGGTTCAGAGACTACACCACCATGTGGCTCTGGAACTGCAACACCATGCGGAACGGAGACTACAACTCCATCTGACTCTGAAACTACAACTCCTTCTGACTCTGGAACTACAACACCATCAGGCTCTGAGACTACAACTCCTTCTGGCTCTGGTGCTACAACGCCATCTGGTTCAGAGACTACACCATCATCTGGCTCTGGCACTACAACACCATCCGCATCTGAGACTTCACCACCATCTGGCTCTGAAACTACAACACCATCAGGCTCTGAGTTTACAACTCCTTCTGGCTCTGGTGCTACAACGCCATCTGGTTCAGAGACTACACCACCATGTGGCTCACTGCAACACCATGCGGAACAGGACTACAACACCATCTGACTCTGAAACTACAACACCATCTCTCTGAAACTACAATCTGAGACTACAACACCATCTGGCTCTGAAACTACAACACCATCAGGCTCTGAGACTACAACTCCAGAGACTACACCACCATGTGGCTCTGGAACTGCAACACCATGCGGAACAGAGACTACAACACCATCTGGTTCAGAGACTACAACTCCATCTGACTCTGAAACTACAACTCCATCTGGCTCTGAAACTACAACACCATCAGGCTCTGAGTTTACAACTCCTTCTGGCTCTGGTGCTACAACGCCGTCTGGTTCAGAGACTACACCACCATCTGGCTCTGGAACTACAACACCACCAGGCTCTGAGGCTACAACGCCATCTGGTTCACTACCACCATGTGGCTCTGGAACTTCAACACCATGCGGAACGGAGGCTACACCACCATCTGGCTCTGAAACTACAACACCATCAGGCTCTGAGACTACAACTCCTTCTGGCTCTGGTGCTACAACGCCATCTGGTTCAGAGACTACACCACCATCTGGCTCTGGCACTACAACACCATCCGGATCTGAGACTACACCACCATCTGGCTCTGAAACTACAACACCATCAGGCTCTGAGATTACAACTCCTTCTGGCTCTGGTGCTACAACGCCATCTGGTTCAGAGACTACACCACCATGTGGCTCTGGAACTGCAACACCATGCGGAACGGAGACTACAACTCCATCTGAAACTACAACACCATCAGGCTCTGGAACTACAACACCACCAGGCTCTGAGGCTACAACTCCTTCTGGCTCTGGTGCTACAACGCCATCTGGTTCAGAGACTTCACCACCATGTGGCTCTGGAACTGCAACACCATCCATCTGAGCACCATTGGCTCTGAAACTACAACACCATCAGGCTCTGAGACTACAACTCCTCCTGGCTCTGGTGCTACAACGCCATCTGGTTCAGAGACTACACCACCATGTGGCTCTGGAACTGCAACACCATGCGGAACAGAGACTACAACTCCATCTGACTCTGAAACTACAACTCCTTCGGGCTCTGGTGCTACAACGCCATCTGGTTCAGAGACTACAACTCCTTCTGTCTCTGAGACCACAACGCCATCTGGTTCAGAGACTACACCACCATCTGGCTCTGAAACTACAACACCATCAGGCTCTGAGATTACAACTCCTTCTGGCTCTGGTGCTACAACGCCATCTGGTTCAGAGACTACACCACCATCTGGCTCTGAAACTACAACACCATCAGGCTCTGAGACTACAACTCCTTCTGGCTCTGGTGCTACAACGCCATCTGGTTCAGAGACTACACCACCATGTGGCTCTGGAACTGCAACACCATGCGGAATCTGGAGACTACAACTCCATCTGAGAAACTACAACTCCATCTGACTCTGAAACTACAACACCATCAGGCTCTGAGATTACAACTCCTTCTGGCTCTGGTGCTACAACGCCATCTGGTTCAGAGACTACACCACCATCTGGCTCTGGCACTACAACACCATCCGGATCTGAGACTACACCATCATCTGGCTCAGAAACTACAACACCATCAGGTTCTGAGACTACAACTCCTTCGGGCTCTGGTGCTACAACGCCATCTGGTTCAGAGACTACACCACCATGTGGCTCTGGAACTTCAACACCATGCGGAGGCTACAACTCCATCTGACTCTGAAACTACAACTCCTTCTGACTCTGGAACTACAACACCATCAGGCTCTGAGACTACAACTCCTTCTGGCTCTGGTGCTACAACGCCATCTGGTTCAGAGACTACACCATCATCTGGCTCTGGCACTACAACACCATCCGCATCTGAGACTACACCACCATCTGGCTCTGAAACTACAACACCATCAGGCTCTGAGACTACAACTCCTTCTGGCTCTGGTGCTACAACACCATCTGGTTCAGAGACTACACCACCATCTGGCTCTGGCACTACAACACCATCCGCATCTGAGACTACACCACCATCTGGCTCTGAAACTACAACACCATCAGGCTCTGAGACTACAATTCCTTCTGGCTCTGGTGGTACAACGCCATCTGGCTCAGAGACTACACCACCATGTGGCTCTGGAACTTCAACACCATGCGGAACGGAGGCTACAACTCCATCTGACTCTGAAACTACAACTCCTTCTGACTCTGGAACTACAACACCATCAGGCTCTGAGACTACAACTCCTTCGGGCTCTGGTGCTACAACGCCATCTGGTTCAGAGACTACACCACCATGTGGCTCTGGAACTTCAACACCATGCGGAACGGAGGCTACAACTCCATCTGACTCTGAAACTACAACTCCTTCTGACTCTGGAACTACAACACCATCAGGCTCTGAGACTACAACTCCTTCTGGCTCTGAAACTACAACACCATCAGGCTCTGAGGCTACAACTCCTTCGGGCTCTGGTGGTACAACGCCATCTGGCTCAGAGACTACACCACCATGTGGCTCTGGAACTTCAACACCATGCGGTACGGAGGCTACAACTCCATCTGACTCTGAAACTACAACTCCTTCTGACTCTGGAACTACAACACCATCAGGCTTTGAGACTACAACTCCTTCTGCCTCTGAAACTACAACACCATCAGGCTCTGAGACTACAACTCCTTCTGGCTTTGGTGCTACATCGCCATCTGGTTCAGAGACTACACCATCATCTGGCTCTGGCACTACAACACCATCCGCATCTGAGACTACACCACCATCTGACTCTGAAACTACAACACCATCAGGCTCTGAGACTCCAACTCCTTCTGGACCGGGTACCACCACGCCATCCGGATCTGAAACTACAACTCATTCGGACTCAGAAACTACACCGCCATCCGGATCTGAGACAACAACTCCTTCCGACACTACATCCCCGGCAGGCTCTGGCACCACAACGGCATCCGGATCTGAGACTACAACAATTACTGCCGCTCCGACTACCACACCTGTTGATTCTCATACTACTACACCGTTTGACGCTGAGACTACAACCCCTCCTAGTTCTGAAACAACACCACCTTCTAGTTCTGATACTACACCAGATGTTGGAACAGAAACTACCGAAACTGCGACTACACCACCAAGTTTGGATTTGACAACAACAGGTAGTTAATTTACATATTGTCCAATTACGAATATATCTAATTTTGATTTCGTTTAATTAACAGCAAAACCACCCGCGGAAACAACAACCACAGCCACTGATGTGACAACTCCTTGGAAAACGACTGATTCCGGTGCAGCAGATGATACACAAACACCTTTGCTGCCGACCGTTCCAACCGATACATCAACTCCTACGTCTGCAACGGAGACAACAACAGAGACTGACTTTGATTCAGGATCCGATCAACAGACAGGAACACCTCCAGTGCCTGGATCCACAGATGCGCCACTTCCACCATGTAATCCAAATATAACAGCAAAACCAATTTGTCCGCCACCACCAAAACCTAGCCCTTGCCCACCAGCTGGCATAGTATCTACTCCATATCCCCTGAACCACTGGCTCTCCAAGTTAAATCAAACATCCGCAATATTGTCGATTAGAACTAATCTGGGCAATAAATACGGTACCTATGTCGAAGGAAATGTGCAAAATCGTGGAATTATAATAACTCAAGGTACAGATGGCGCCAAAAGAAAATCGACCAAGAACATGTCGAAATTGGTTGAACTTTTTAAAGCCATGCATGAGCAGAAACGACGAGCGACTTAAAAATTATAGAGAAATGATGCCTTAAAAAAAATTACGAAATATTTTTTGTGTTAAGTGATCGAAACTAAAATTATACAAAGTTTAAATATAAGTCATGCGACCGCAGATTGAAAACCAAGAAAACAATCTGGGGTAAATTAAATTTGTACTAATTATAAAAATGTGTTGTGTTGTTGTCATTAGATGGAAATTGTCTAGGGCATAATGATGATTTTACAGAGGGAAGTATTTGTATATTCGGAAAATGGGAAAGGTTTCAACTGTAATCTAAAAGTTTTAGCTTCAAAGAACGTTTTCTTCTAAGTACATTTTTCTTCTACCATCATAAGCTTTCAGATTTTGCGGTCCTAATTGGTTCAGGATTTTCAAGTTGAAAATGTGTCACCTAAAGTAGGGTCATTTCACTTCGGAAGAGTTGAAGGAGATCTTTTGATTTTAGGAAGCTAACAAACCCAACGATGTCTTTCAGTAGTATTATTCTGTCCTGGTCTTGGGTTTATATAAGAGCTACATTGTTGACTTCCGTTTTTAATAAGATGTTAAACAAATTTACAATATAAAGCAAGACCTGATCAGGGGATACTGAATAAAACCCTGCTAAACATTCATTGTGTTCTGAAGTGGAAAGGGAGTTTTGCAAAGAAGACCTGGAAAAGTTATTCGCTATTACGTCAGTAGGCGATTTGAAGAAACCCTTTTCGATATAAGACACCTAATGCAGATTATTAGACCAGAAATGGGTTGAAGAAAATCGTATGTTTATAGGGGACTTAAGAACCTAAAGCACGTTTCCTGTTTATAGAAGACCTGAAGGACGCATTTTCTTTCTAGTAGATATCGGCAAGGTCTTTATAATACCTGAATAAAGTTGTTAGTTTATATAAGACCTGAAAAAGTCATTCTGTCCTGAAAACACCTGTATAAAGTCTTGTGCCAATAGCAGTTCTTGTCTCAAAATACCTGAATAACATATAATAGACCTGAAGAAGTAATTCTGATTACAGATGAGTTGAAGAACGTGGGTGTTTATAGCGAACCGGAGAACCTAAACCCTAAAAAACCCCGAAAGGTCCATTCCGTTCATATTAAACATTGGGAAGGTATTCTGCCTTCAAAATACCAGAATAAAATTTTTTTAATATTGCTTACTTTATTTTGACATTTACATAAAATCGGAGGACACTATATATGGGAGATAAATCTAAATCTGAATCGATTTCAACAAAACTTCGCCTACATCAATCTGGGTCTAAATCAGTACGCTGTCCAAATATTTGTCTCAATCGGCCAAATATTGGGAGTTTGGTGCACTATTTATATGAAATCGGACAACACTATATATGGTAGCTATATATGATTCTGAAAATTTCGCATACTTCAATCCGAGAATAATTCAGTACGCTGTGCAAAATTTCGTCTCAATCGGACAAATATTGAGGTTTTTGGTGCACCATTTTTTAAATCTTCGTCATTGAAACATATCAAGAAGGTCCTCTGCCCATAAAATATGTGGAAAAATTGTATGTTAAACAACACTTCGTTAAGATCTGTTTATAAAGGATTTTAGAAGGTGTTCCGTCCACAAATGTCGTGAATAAGGTTTTCCCTCTACAGATTGTTCTTTGCCTATAAAAGCCCCTAACCTAACTTGCAAACAATTTCTTTCCTTTAAACGACCAGAAGTCGGTCTTCTTTCTTTGTAGGAGATCGGAGGGAGGGTTATATTAACTGAAGGGTCCGAAAAAGGGTTTGTTTGTCTTTATACCCTTCACCACTCTGTGGTACATGGTATTATGTCTTTGTGTTTATGTTTGTAACAGGCAAAAGGAAACGAGATAGACACATGGTTCCTTTTGAGAATATGCATAGAATCACTTTTTAAGTCGATTTATGCATGTCCGATTATGATGAAATTTAGAACATGTCACTTAATTGACCCCAGGACGAATCGTATTGAAATTGGAGAAAATTGGTTCAGATTTAGACATAGCTCCCAAATATAGTCTCGTCCGATTTAATGTAAATAGAGCACCATAATGCAAATATTGGTCCCATTGAGACAAAATTTTGCATAGAGTATTTTCTTAGGTCTAGATTGATATATGCCAAGTTTTGTTTAAATCGGTTCAGATTTAGATATAGCTCCCATATATAGTTTCTTCCGATTTTACGTAAATAGAGCACCATACTGCCAATATTGGTCCGATTGAGACAACATATTACACAGAGTACTAAATTATGTCCAGATTGATGTATGCGAAGTTTTGTTGGAATCGGTTCAGATTTAGATATAGCTCCCATATATAGTTCCGTTCGATTTTAGGTAAGTGGTGCACAAAACTGAAAATGTTTGCCCGATTGGGACAACATTTTGCACAGCGTACGGAATTTAGTCCAGTTTGACATCTGTGAAATTTTGTTGAAATCGGTCAAGATTTATATATAGCTTCCATATATAGTTTCATCCGCCACATACTGCCAATATTGGCCCGATTTAGACAAAATTTTGCATAGAGTACTGAATTAGGTCTAGATCGATATGAGACATGTTTTGTTGAAATCGGTTCAGATTTAGATATAGCCCCCATACATAGTTTCGTCCGATTTTATGTAAATAGAGCACCATACTGCCAATATTGGTCCGATTGAGACAAAATTTTACACAGAGTACTGAATTATGTCCAAATTGATGTATGCGAAGTTTTTTGGAATCTGTTCAGATTTAGATATAGCTCCCATATATAGTTTACAAAATTTTGCCGAACTTCATACAATGTTACCCCAAAAATTCAAGTCTGCCCGATTGACATGCAATTTTTTTATAGATTTCAGAATGTCATGTGTATGGTTTTTATTGGTTCAAAAATCTATGTAGATCACATTTGTTTTTTACCCGATTCCATGTTAATGGTCAAGGGTATCATATAGTAGGCCCCGTCCGACTTTTGAACTTTCCTTACTGCTTTTTTCGAAGGCGTGGTGAATGTCCGCTGTCTGTAGAAGGCATTACGAAGTCTTTTTGTGTATGGAAAACATTAAGAAGGTATTTTTCCACAAAGAACCTGAATATGGATTTATCTGTATCGAATACTTAAAGTATCGAATACTTAAAGCATTAAGAATGTTCTCTATCTTTAGAAGACCTCAAGTACGACTTCTGCCAGTAGAAGCAAAAATTCTTATATATATATATATGGGCAATATTGCCAATTTTTTAATATTCCATTTTCAAAAAATCAGCTTTTTGTTTTTGTGGCACATCAATGATTTTTGGTACACATATAGAGAAAAATGTTCTGACTCCCAAACCGTTCGCGATCAAATTTTTGGTTGATGCGCGCAAAAGTTATCGAGGTTTTAAATTTGGGCATAAGAAAAAAATCTTAAAATTACGCCGTTTATTATATTGACCAAAAACGTTGATATATATCTTCCTCCGTAAAATAAGAATATGAATATATTATAAAAATCGCGAAAAAGTTGCACATCTTCGCGAAATATGAGAAAAATAATGAAAATAAAGGAGATTACGTAAATATTTTCATTATATTCATGACATACACACACCTAAAAATTAATTTAAAAATATCTACATAATCTAAACACCATGGTGAATCAAATGATATCAAAATCACACAAGTCCGTGTAGCTGTTTGTAAATCACAGCGACAACAAAACAAGATATTGAGGAAAATTATTTGTTTTTGGTTCGAAAAAATAATGTCATCACATTTATTTTTTTAATTGTATACAAGAAATTTCAGAAAAGAATGTTGGGGTTATTCTGCTATTTTACCCGAATTTCGCTGAAAAATTGACATATATAATAATAATCACTTTTTGTGTATAAGTATATGCCTTGCGGATTATATCAAGACCCTTCCGATAAATCTTAGGGTTCTTTAAATAGGAATAAATCTTAAAATAAAATAATATTATGAAATATACATTTTAAATTGCGTCTAAGTCGCGTAATTCTCAAAATCATTTGATGCGCATGCGGTTTCCAGGAAGTACTGAAGTTTATCTTCCAATCCATATATATATTGCAAAATTTCATTTGACGGCTAAGATGTGCCGCACGTTATATTGAAGTATCCAAAAAACCGTAAAACGCGAATAATTTCCGAAAACTCCATATGTCATTAACGCGCATCCGATTTCAGTGTGCACCCAAAAAAAAATTATCGATCTATACCGATTTCAATGTGGTCCATTAAGAACCATGGATGTGCCAGCTCACACTATTTTTGAGATAAATTGCGTCTACATCGCGTAATTCTCAAAATCATTTGATGCGCATGCGGTTTCCAGGAAGTACTGAAGTTTATCTTCCAATCCATATATATATTGCGAAATTTCATTTGACGGCTAAGATGTGCCGCACGTTACATTGAAGTACCCAAAAAACCGTAAAACGCGAATAATTTCCGAAAACTCCATATGTCATTAACGCGCATCCGATTTCGGTGTGCACCCTTTAAAAATACATCGATCTATACCGATTTCAATGTGGTCCATTAAGAACCATGGATGTGCCATCACAATCTATTTTTGAGATAAATTGCGTACATCTCTCTTTTGGCTGAAGTTTTTAAAGTTCTCTTTTCGAAAAAGATCAAAATCCGTATGAGGTCATTTATTGAAGCGGAAATGATACACAGAAAACGCAAATAAATCCGCGATATTTTCAAAAACATTTTTTGCCAAATTTCGTGTTTTTGGAAGGCCAGTTCCCGCCGTTCTAGTAGATGGATTTTCACGAAGAAGATTTTATATCATCCGAAACGGAAAAAACCTTATTGATCGCGGGTACCCATATCATTCAGTTGACAGATCTAAAAATTTGGCCCGAAAAATAGGTTTTTTAGAAATTTGATCGCACAAAATTCGCACCTTCGGATGAGTATTACTCTGAAGCTGTGCATGCTACATATACAAAATACATATCAAATTACGCAGATTCGCGACTACAATAATCGTATAATCGATTTTTAGAAATTCCTGTTCGCGTATTAATGCTAGAACTAAAATTCAAAAAACACTCAAAATCGAGCTTCAAAATGTCAGCATCATTTAAAGGTAGATGCAGTTAAAATTTTGAAAAATGATACATAAGGGGCGTAGTCCCCATTTTGTTGGCTTCTAGTTTTATTTTGACACGAAGGCCGTGCAATGAGTGGCTTAGTCACAAATCGATAGAGAACATAAAAAAACTGGTTCGCCTCAACCTGTTTTTACACATTTTTTTACATTAAAGTAGACACAGCTTCAACTAAAATAAAGTTTGGAGGTCAATATCATGAGCAGTTTGCAACGACAGATCAATTAACCCAAAACTATTCACTTTTTTTCATATACTTAAGTAGTTCCCGAGTTATAAAGGTGTGAACCTCCGCTTCAGCTATGTTAAAAAATTGGCAATATTGCCCATATATATATGACCAGGAGGCGGTTTGTCTCTATATGAGATATTGGGAAGGTTCCTTTCCCTACAGAAGTGCTATAGAGATCAGTGAAACATAAAGAAAAAGTTGTTCTGACACTAAAATAAAGATGAAGATCCTATTAAAGTTTTTGTCCACAGAAGACCTTAAAGAAGTATTTTTTCTATCATTCGAAGACATCGAGTATATTTTCTGTCAGTCGAAAACTTGTAAAATGTTGATAGTCCGCAAAGACCCGGAGATGGTATTTTTTCCTTAGGAGATCTGAAGAGCTATAGGGGACATTCTGTTTGTAAAACATAAATTAGCAGATGTTCTCTCAATAAAATATGAAGATATAATTAATGCCGTTTGCGCATAGAGACCTTAAGAGGTATACATATCGAAATATGCCTTTTCCTAAAATAGTCCTAAATAGGTCTTCGTTAGCGGGAGAATTGAAAAACGTTTATTGCCTTTAAAATGCCAGTAGACCGTACTTTTTCAATAGATCTGGGAAGGTTCTTTGCTTGACAGAAGACCTGTAGTGAGCCTCGAAGCAGCTCTAAATTTGAACCAACGAACTCTACAGAAATCGAAATTGTGTAATAAATATGGCTTGTATTTGGTTTTCACATACATCGGTTCTAAAAACTCTATTTAAATGCTCAATAAAAAATATGTATGTACATTGCACATTTTCATATTGAACTTTGTTCGAATTATTCTTGACCTAGGCCATTTATTGTTCATTGTTTTAGTATATAGTTAATTACTGTAAGTATCCATAAGACATATGTATCGAATTACACTTCAAACACTCACGTTTATTTGACTTTAAATTACAAAAACAAAGAATAGCAGATAGTGCAGAATTTACAAATTGGGACAACGCACCATAAGGTCTATAACACGTGGTATTGACATAATTGGAAAATAACCAAAACGCTTATGAAATCATGACCCATGTGTAGTTACAGCACTTATGAGGAATAATGGCTCCAATTAAATACAAATAAATAATGCCCCAACTGGCTCATTTGGGGACAGTAACAATTTACAACAACATCCAACCGAATCAGCATGAAGGTCATATTCATTTTGGGTACAATTTGCCTTATGGCATTACCTGCCAAAATGGAACCATTTAGGTTACCATCGGTTTTCCCCCATCCAGCATTTCCCAGCCATCATTTCCCTCGGCCAAATTCACATCATTCGGGACCAGTGTGTGGTGTCTTAAATGGTTACTATAAAACCTTTCACAGCCTGCAGGAATTTTTGGATTACAATAAAAATGGTTATAGTTTTACATTTTATTGTAATGGACCATGCCCACCGAGTCATTATCCTTGTTCGCAGGTTTATGAACCTGTGTGTGCCACCGATTTGCGGACAGCTAAAACATTTAGCAGCCCATGTGCCTTGGCTGAGGAAAGTTACAAAAGTGGAATAAGTAAGTGATGAAAAGCGAGGGGCCTTTGATTAAAATGTAATTTATTTTGTTGTCTACTTATAGCTTGGGTAAAAATTGCCGATGGTCCATGTCCTTCTCCAAGTATCACAACTACTAGCACGACCACCACCACAACTACTACTACTAAAGCACCAACAACTGCTGAAGAGCCAACTACTGAGGAGGTAACTACGAAAGAAGTGACATCTACCGAAGAGGACACAACTCCTGAGCCATCAACGTCAGAACCAACAACTCCTGAGCCATCAACGTCAGAACCAACAACTCCTGAGCCATCAACGTTAGAACCAACAACTCCTGAGCCATCTGCTCCTGAATCAACAACTCCCGTACCCACCACAACTCCGGAAGTACCATCTCCTGAGGAAACCACCTCTGTTGTCACTGCCCTACCAGAAGAAGACGACGAACCATGCCAACCCAGCTTACCAGTTGGAGTATTGGCACCCAGTGTTCAAGCTGGTCCCATAATTTCATTTAGAAATAATGTAGACAATAATTATGGAATTTATGCTGAAGGAAATGTCTATAACACTGCACCCTGTAATAACAAACAGAACTGCAATACAAAGGGTTAGATTTCGATAACATACGTTCCGATTAAGAATTTATATTCAGAACTCGCAAAGTTGAATTAAAAAATGTATCAAATATTTTACCAAATTAATGCAAATTTTAATCAACTAATAAAACTTGACGCATTTGACCTTACTATGCCTTTTATAATAAAACAAATATTTAATTTGATCCCCAATTCTACTCAGCAATTCTTCTCTCAATTCTACTCGGCAATTTTCATTATATTCCTCCTATTAAAACAATGTTACCGATTTTTGTATCATTTGGTACTTTTCATACATTTATAGGTAGTTTCCAAACAAATTTCGAAATTTTAACACTGTTCGTTAATCAAAAAACCAATTGTACAAATTTTAGTGCAATTTCAAAGAAAGTACGAGCCACATAATAAATTTCAAAATGAACGAATTTCAAAAGCAATCTCCTCGACCCCTCTGCCCTTTTCAAAAATCTCATCACTCTAACATGTATGTTTTCTTTTGTTTATTCAATACCTAAAGTGCTAATATTAGTACAATTCAGTACTATTCGTACACTTATGGTACGAACTGTCAACAAATGTTTCCTTATCTTAACCCTAAACAGTGTTACCGATGCTTGAGTTAATGATTCGGGCTCTATTCGTTCATCCATTAACACGTTCTTGAACTAAATTTAGTACCACTTAGTACTTTTCGTACACCAAAATTTTTCGAAATCACCTCCTAATCGCAATTTAATACAACAACAGTGATTAAAATACCAAATTTCAAACTCTATTCGTTTACCCGATACCAAACGTAGCACTTTTAGTATGTTTCGTACACTTTTAGTAGGTACAAATTTCCAAAAATCCTTATCACACACCTGCTGAGTTGAAGAACATTCGTCTAACATTGTGGGATGTTCAAGTGCTTCATCCGGAACCCGAATTTGCTTGGGTAGGTGGATGCAGAGTCGTGACCTTCAGATCGAATTTTAAATACACAAGGGATTGTGAATTTCCTCCGAATATTATCCTTCGAACCAATTTGACCTGGTATACAGTCAAAGAAAAACCAGTAAGGAAAGTAGTAAAGTCGGACTGGGCCGACTATATGATACCCTTCACCACTTTGGGTATATTCTACATGTGTATCCGAAAAGCCGTTGCCTTTTTGAAGGAATTTTGACATGAAATTGAACGAACTTAAATGTGTGATTTTTATGTCTTTCTGGAACATATGATAAATTTCATTTCATTTGGGTATGTTTAGAGTCGTTTGCGCACAGTGAGACAGATTTGTGTAAATCGATTTAAAGCACACGCTATTCGGTATGCTGCACTGTTTAGAATTTAATCTCAATAAGATACCTATTGATTATTTGGTGTACAATTAATATAAATAAGTCGAAATTATATATGGAAGCTACGATATATCTATATCTGAACCGATTTGAAGCAAACTTGCCAGAGATTAATTTATATTAACTATAGTACGTTGTGTCAATCTGCTTAGCTGTGGATCTTTAGTGCACAATTTACATAAAATCGGACGAAAATATATAGGAGGTGTACACATCATTCTAGACTTAATTCAATACGCTATGCCAAAATTCGAATGATTTTCAGAGACTTTGATGCACCATTTACCTAAAATCGGACGAAACTATATATGACAGCTAAATCTAAATCTGAACCAATTTTCAGGAAACTTAGCACACACCATTCTAGACTTAATTTAGAACGCAATATCAAAAGATTAGCAGGGACTTTGGTGCACCATTTACCTAAAATCGGGCGAAACTATATCTAAATCTGAACCGATTTTCACGAAACATAGCACACATCATTCTAGACCTAGATAATTCAATAAGCTATACCAAATTTAGTGCAAATCGAAAGATATATAGGGACTTTGGTACACCATTTACCTTAAATCGGGCGAAAATATATATATATATATATATATGGGAGCTATATCTAAATCTGAACCGATTTTCACGATTTTCATTCTAGACATTATTCAGTAGGCTATACCAAATGTCGTGCAAATCGAAAGATATATAGGGACTTTGGTACACCATTTACCTAAAATCGGGCGAAACTATATATGGGCTATATCTAAATCTGAACAGATTTTCTCTAAACTTGGCACACATCATTCTGGACATAATTCAGTACGCTATGTCAAAATTCGTGCAAATCGAAAGATTTTCAGGGTCTTTGGTGCACCATTTACCAAAAAAATATATGGGAGCTATATCTAAATCCGAACCGATTTTTCCCAATTTCAATAGGGTTCGTCCTTGGGCCAAATAAATGAGCTGTACCAAATTTCAGCCAAATCGGATTAAAAATGCGACCTGTACTTTGTTTACAATTTAACATCAACAGACAGACGGACGGAAATGCATAAATCGACTTAGAAAGTGATTCAATGCATATTCTCAAAAGGAACCATGTGTCTATCTCGTCTATTTTTGCCTGTTACAAACATATGCACAAAGACATAATACCCTGTACCACAGTGTGGTGAAGGGTATAAAGACAATGTAAACGTGTCATTAATATCTTAACTATTTTCCTTCTCTCTCAATTTATCTCTCTCTCTATCGTTTTACAAAAACAAATGTATTTTGTTTTTGGATTATGTTTCGTTAGAAAATCTTCATTCCAACAACTATAAATTTTGACCCATGTTTTGTTGTAGGCCCAATAAAATATTACTCCTAAGACTTTTCTCTAAGACTTATGACTTCATTTCGTATTCATCAGGCCTATATTGACTCACTGATCTAACTCAGATTATCTATGTACTCACTGATGTGCTCTATGCAGACTTCCTATGAAGTGGATGGTACACGAACCAGCTAACAATTTGTTCACATTTTTAAAGAATTCGGAACGAAACTCTTTGTACTAAGAATTTGTAAGGTTTTGTCGGAAAAAAATCGGAAGGAAAATTCGAGTTTCCTTACGAATTCTAAATGAATTTCGTTTGATCCGAAATTCGGAAAATTATTGGTAGTTTGTTTCGATATTCGGAAAGATTGAACAATTAAAGATTAAAAATTGTAAGCTGGGTAATTTTAAATTTCCGATCAGAATAAAATACTATATCGAATTTATGTGCCCGTGTATCCGTTGAAACTACAATAGAACTCATACTATTGAATTGTGTACATCAATTTCTACTTCCTCGAAACATTCTAGGTCATTGTACATTTTTCGGACGAAACTGATGGTCGGAATCTTGAATAGCGGGTTTAACTGTAATTGAACTGAAAATGTTCAAAGGTTCATTCTGGTCTTGGAAATATGCTTCGAAATCTGTAAGTGACAAAAGGACCTTATGTGGTACTGAAATTTGCGTTCTGTAATATGTAGAGAACCTTATGTGTACTTAGAGAAATTTAGTGGACTTCAGTTATACCGATTTCGATAGTTTCGGATTTAATTACAGTGAGTAATATAGTTAAATATGTCTTGCAATATTCAAAATAATAATAAATCTATCCACTGACAATCGCTTTGGTTAGATCCCAACCATTTATCTTAAAATATGTTCTTTATCTTCCAACCGAATTGACTGTAATGAGGCATTTAGCGCTCTCTGAGGATACATTTATTTTGCGACCAAAGTGAATTAGGTCCATAGGTGCTCGCAAAAGCTATCGAATTTTAACATGGTCGCAACGTAATTGTACTGCCTATCCAACCTTAACGTTCACATTTAGGGAAATATTTACTTCTATTATTAAAAAAATCGTTTCCTAATGGATTCAACGGGAACGTACACAGTAATGGTGCGGAAACACCTTTGTTTTTATTTTGCTCAATTGAAACACACTTCTAAAACAATAATACAACTTGTCGTGCTTCAAAATATGCAAGCTAAGCTGATAGCTGCATGAACAAAGAATTCCACTCTTGCACGTTGCAGAGCTCAAGCTAAGCCAAAGAAATTCTGAACCCCATAATGATATACGCACACACATACGAATGTCTGTAGGTGTCAATAATTATTAATTCGACAAATTGCCTAATTAAAAATCTAATTGAAAGCACAACGAATTTTTAACCGAGAAATATTATTGCATAAGACACGTCCCGTTCAGAATTTAAATAAATACTCCGAACATTTGTTAGTCAGGGTACAGTAGCATTTTGCAACAATAACACAAAAAACAAACATCATGAAAACCATTGCATTCCTATTGGTAGCAATTTGCCTTGCAGCAACTGTTGCCTATAGTCGGGCATTGAGTCCTCCCTACCCATATTTCCACAATAACTACTCGTATAGACCAGGATTTCCAGCTCACCATCACCACCACCATGGAGGACCAGTATGTGGTGTCTTAAATGGTTACTTTAGAACTTTTTCGAGTTTGCAAGAATTCTTGGATACCGTGAAAAATGGTTATGGTTATAAATTCCACTGCAATGGACCGTGTCCAAGTGTTAAACCGGAAGGAGGATGTCCACGCATTTATGATCCTGTGTGTGCCACAAATTTGCTGACAACAAAGACGTTTAGTAATCCCTGTGTTTTGGCTCAGGAATCTTCCTCGACGGGCATAAGTAAGTGAAGATATATATTTTTATGGTAAGGGGTATTGAATTAAACATTTGAATTATTTTTATATTATTAGCTTGGATACAAATTGCCAAGGGACCTTGCCCAGTGGTGAGCCCTCCAACTGTGGGGCCACCAGTTACAGAACCACCAACACCAGCTGCTGATACATCCTCTCCACAACCAACTACAACTGAAGTTACAACCCCGGAACCAACTACAACTGAAGTTACGACCGAAGAACCAACCAGCACTGAACCTGCCACAACCCCAGAAACAACCGAGGCCACAACAGATGACACTACCACCGAAGAAGCGACAACAACAACTGAGGCAGAAGCTACAACAACCGAAGAAGAGGAGGAAGAGGATACTACAACCGAAGAAGCCACACAAGCTCCAGATGATTTGGAAATTTCAACAACACCTGAAGTTTCCTGCAAACCATCTACCCCATCACCACTTTCACTATTTGCCCAATGGTTTGATCTTGTCCAATCTAGTCCTGTCAATGGTGCTCCGACAATCTCCTTCAGAAATAATGTTAACAACAAATATGGCATCTATGCTGAACGAAATGTCTATAATAATCCCTGTTATCGCCGTGGCCAATGTTAATCGTTGTCGTCTGAGGTTTATGGTCTGATACAAGGAAAAATATCGTGTGAAATACTCTCGCATTCTCCCTCCCATTTCCGTTCGAATGTAATTTAACTATTTATAAAATTATAAAATAAAATATATTATTTATTCTGCATATAAAATTTGGGATATTTGTATTCAATGGTCCAAAATGGGTTTCAGGAAGATCGACTACTGTTATTGGTATATTAGCATACATATATTTAAGGTGTATCCGATTTAAGAACCTTCAAAACATAATTTTGGTTACAAAGTAAAAACCCCGAAGCCATTGGGTGCCAAGTCAGGGATGTACGGATGTTGACTAAAAATTTGTAGGTCAAAAATGCCCTAGTTCGGGCTGAATAGCATAGATCCATGATTTGTCACCAGTGACGAATATTGAATTACCAAAATGTCTAAAGTCTGTAGCGCATACACATTTTCGAGACTTTCCTTCATATTGGATATCTAATTTTTAACCGATTTGAACAAAACTATATTGTGGAATTGGCATAATACAGGGCTTCATATTAATTTTTCCGCCAGAGATGAGGAAGTATATTTTTAATGCCCAGGGCCCTTTGAACTCTCAGCTTACGAAATTTACTTTCATACAAAAATTGTGACTTCTTTCTATAAGAGTTTGTCCATTTGGTACTTTCTGGCTACCTTTGCGTAAGATTGCGGTTCTTTACTTGTATTTACTTCCTCATCGGTACTACCCGGATTTTCCTGATAGTATCCATGGTGAAATCGGATATTTCTAATATAGTTCCTTGGTGACAATAGTCTTCTTGATATAAGAGTAACCTTAGTCATCCACAGTGGACTTGACCCGATAAAAAAGTAAAATTCAGTGGCGATGTAGCCAGACCCGTTAGTTTATTGTACAATAGGGTTGGATTTTTTAAATGATATTTTCTGAAAGTCCATCATAGGGTTGGATTTTTTAAAGGTTATTTGTAAAGGTCAATCCGAGGCGTGGATAGCTTAAAACATATTTTCAGAAGGTCCATCATAGGTGTGATTTTTTCAAAGAATATTTTCTGAAGATCTGTTTTTAAAGGTCAGTCCAAGACGTAGATTTGTTTTAAATAGTATTTTTAAACGTCAATGCAAGGCAAGGATTTTTATACCCTTCACCACACTGTGGTAAAGGGTATTATGTCCTTGTGCATATGTTTGTAACAAGCAAAAGGAAACGAGATAGACACATGGTTCCTTTTGAGAATATGCATAGAATCACTTTCTGAGTCGATTTATGCATGTCCGTCCGTGCGTCTGTTGGTGTTAAATTGTAAACAAAGTACATGTCGCATTTATAATCCAATTTGGATGAAACTTGGTACAGCTCATTTGTTTGGCCAAAGGACGAACCCTATTGAAATTTGGAAAAATCGGTTCAGATTTAAATATTGCTCCCATATATATTTTCGTCCGATTTAATGTAAATGCGATTTGCACGAAATTTGGTTCAGCGTACTGAATTAGGTCTAGAATGATGTGTGTTAAGTTTCCTGAAAATCGGTCCAGATTTTGATGTAGCCCCCATATATATTGTCGTCCGATTTAAGGTAAATGGTGTACCAAAGCGTACTAAATTAGGTCAAGAATGATGTGTGTTAAGTTTCCTGAATATCGGTCCAGATTTATATATAGGTCCCAAAAACTCAAAACCTGTGACAAGTTTCGATGAAATCGGTTTAGATTTCGATATAGCTTTTATATATATTTTCGTCCGATTTTGAGTAAATGGTACACCAAACTCCTCATATTTATCAGATATTTATTCAAATAATCAACGAGTGTCCGATTGATATTTGTTTTAAATTGATTTACATATTTTTCTCCTATTGTAAGAAGCAACTCTATATCTGACCAAATGAAAAATTTAGTATAGGTTGCAGAATGACATGTTAATGGATCCAATTTCATTTTACTGCTCCTTCAAAAATGCGACGTCTGTTAGGATTCATCTGTTGAATATACCCAAAGTGGTGAAGGGTATCATATAGTCGGCCCCGTCCGACATTACTACTTTCCTTACAGGTTTCTATTTCGAGTCGAGCTCAATGATCGAAGATTTGAAATGAAAAAGGAAGCCAGGAGTAGAACCTACGAACCCACCATTATGCGACTCGTTTCCCTGTTGGTTAAGTGGTTCATCAGCATATTAATTAATTTCAAAATATTTTTAAAAAACCTTGTCAGACATTATGGACAAAAAAATCCTCAATAATCTAAATATATACCCCCATATGTGCAAATATTAGATATAACTATGAAAACTATTTTTATATACATGTTCAAGTTATATATAGAAAGCAAAGCAAAGGCTTTCACGACATGTGTTTTTTCTCCGAACGTGTTAAATTAATAAAAAAAACCAAAAATATTTCCAAACGAAATTTCCAGACAATAGTTTTATTTTTTTGACTTGTTAAACAAGCCAAAATAAAAATTACCAAAAATTCCGAATGTCCAAATTCCAAATTTAGAAATATTGAAAAAAAAAACACATAAACAAACTTAAAGGGAAATTATTAAAAATCACACACAACAATATAAAGGGGAACTGAAGTTCCTCTAAATAAAAACCAGTAAGGAAAGTAGTAAAGTCGGACAGGGCCGACTATATGATACCCTTCACCAATATGGGTATATTAAACAGGACTATTAACATGAAATTGGATGAAATAAAATATGTGATATTTATCTAAATGTGAATCTACCTAGATCTATCCATAAACATGTCATTCGTTAGTTACAATGGGACAAAGGAATGTAAATCGACTTCAAACAAATATAAATAGGTCATCCGTTGGGCTATGTCTGTACCTCTAGAAAACGTAACTACGCTATTCTATGCTCAATTTTGTACGTTGTGCAAAATTTGATGTCAATGTGACTAACATGAGGAGTTTGATGCCCAATTTACTTGAAATCGGGCGGAAATATATATGGAAGCTCTATCCAAATATTAAGCGATTATCAGCCTATTGATTCCTTGGTGCATCAATTACTTAAAATCAATCTATAATAAAAGGGAGCTATATCTAAATCTGGACCGATTTTCACGAAACAAGGCAGACATCACTCTAGGCTCAATTCAGTACGTTATGCCAAATTTCGTGCAAATCGAAAGATATATAGCGACTTTGGTGCACTATTTACATGAAATCGGACGAAACTATATCTGGGAGCTATATATAAATCTGGACCAATTTTCTCGAAACTTGGCAGACATCACTTTAGGCTCAATTCAGTACGTTATGCCAAATTTCGTGCAAATCAAAAGATATATAGGGAGATTTGTGCATCATTTACATAAAATCGGACGAAACCATATATGGGAGCTATATCTAAATCTTGACCGATTTTCACGAAACTTGGCAGACATCATTCTAGGCTCAATTCAGTACGTTATGCCAAATTTCGTGCAAATCGAAAGATATATAGGGACTTTGGGGCACCATTTACATGAAATCGGACGAAACTATATATGGGAGCTATATCTAAATCTGGACCGATTTTCTCAAAATTTGGCAGACATAACTCTAGGCTTAATTCAATACGTTATGCCAAATTTCGTGCAAATCGAAGGATATATAGGGACTTTGGTGGACCATTTACCTAAAATCGGACGAAACTATATATGGGAGCTATATCTAAATCTTGACCGATTTTCACGAAACTTGGCAGACATCATTCTAGGCTCAATTCAGTACGTTATGCCAAATTTCGTGCAAATCGAAGGATACATATGGACTTTGGTGCACCATTTACATAAAATCGGACGAAACTATATATGGGAGCTATATCTAAATCAGGACCAATTTTCACGAAACTTGACAGACATCATTCTAGGCTCAATTAAGTACGTTATGCCAAATTTCGTGCAAATTGAAGGATATGTAGGGACTTTGGTGAACCGTTTACCTAAAATCGGACGAAACTATATATGGGAGCTATATCTAAATCTTGACCGATTTTCACGAAACTTGGCAGACATCATTCTAGGCGCAATTCAGTACGTTTTGCCAAATTTCGTGCAAATCGAAAGATATACAGGGACTTTTGTGCACCATTTACATGAAATCGGACGAAACTATATATGGGAGCTATATCTAAATCTGGACCGATTTTCACGAAACTTGGCAGACATCATTCTGGACCTAAATGATTAGGCTGTATCAAATTTCGTGCAAATCGAAAGATATATAGGGACCGTTTACATTAAATCTGTTAAATATATATATGGGAGCTATATCTAAATCTGAACCGATTTTTCCCAATTTCAATAGGGTTTGTCCTTGGGCCGAATAAGTGACTTGTGCCAAATTTCATCGAAATCGGATCATAAATGCGACCTGTACTTTGTTTACAATTTAACATCTACAGACGGACAGACGGACGGACGGACGGACATGCATAAATCGACTCAGAAAGTGATTCTATGCATAGTCTCAAAAGGAAACATGTGTCTATCTCGTTTCCTTTTGCATGTTACAAATATATGCACAAAGACATAATACCCTGAACCACAGTGTGGTGAAGGGTATAAAAAACAAGGTAACTAAGATTACAAATGCGGAATTAACAATAAGCTTACATACACGATCAAGGGCGAACATTAGATGGAGCACGTGGTCAAGAGAAATGTGTAATAATGTCAGAACAAAGGTTATAGAAATTGTAATACTAGAAAAAAAAACAGAAAATAAAAATATTGAATTGAAAATAATTTATGAATGAATTAAATGGTTACATAACCATATTTACACCGAAAATAGAAAACATATAAATAGTGGGGTTAGTCAGTGATGAAGGTACAGTATCAACTGAACAACAACAATTCAATCATTATTCAAAAAATCTCAAAAATAGAAAAATAAATTTTGAAAAAAATAGCAATCATGAAAGTCATCTTCATTGTAGCAGCAATTTGTGTTATGGTATTGCCTTCCAATGCCACTGTATTGCCATGGAGTTCCAATGCACCCTCCTCAAACTTCCCTTATCCTTATTCTCATCACTCGCCTGCATATGGGTCCCATGGCAGCTCACACCACAGAGGACCAGTGTGTGGAGTTTTGAATGGATTTTATAAAACCTTCTATAATTTACAAGAATTTTTGGATTACAACAAGAATGGTTATTCTTTTACATTTTACTGTACTGGTCCGTGTCCCACCATTCCAAGTGTTTGCTCCACAGCCTATGAGCCAATTTGTGCTACAAATTTGTTCGAAACCAAGACTTTTAGCAGTCCTTGTGCCATGGCTGAAGAAAGTTACAGAACCGGAACATGTAAGTTTGGACGAAGAAGCGAATTTCTTTTGAGAATTTTTTAAAATAATTTTATTTTCTTTTATTTACAGCTTGGATACAAATCGTAAGCGGTGCATGCCCTGGTTTAAATACTGAGCAGACATCTACAAAGGCACCTGTGGTAACACCTAAACCAACAACTCCTGAACCTACAACTCCCGAACCCACAACTCCCGAACCAACAACTCCATCACCAACAACTCCAGAACCCACAACTCCAGCACCAACAACTCCCGAACCTACAACTCCCGAACCTACAACTCCAGAACCTACAACTCCTGAACCCACTACTCCCGAACCCACAACTCCTGAACCCACTACTCCAGAACCAACAACACCCGAAGCAACTACTCCCGAACCCACAACTCCTGAACCCACAACTCCTGAACCTACAACTCCTGAACCCACAACTCCAGAACCAACAACTCCCGAAGCGGTTACCGTTACATCTCCCGCACCAAGCTCTTCGGCATTCACCACCGATCCAACATCCCATGATTCCCTATTTGATCTAACATCAACACATGTTACATCTCCCGAACCAAGTTCTTCAGCATTTACCACCGATCCAACATCCCATGATTCCCTATTTGATATAACAACACCACAACCTAGTTTTGCTGTGGGTGCATTAAATGAAATTTATACAACACCAGCTCCAGAATTTGACCCATCTTCGGTATATGAACCATCAGCATTATTGTTTGCCCAATTTCTCAATTCTCTTCGTGGTGCTTCTCTTGGTAATTTACCACCTGGTGCTGTACTCTCCTACAGAAATAATGTCGGTAATGATTATGGCATCTATGCTGAAGGAAATGTCTTCAATAATGTACCATGTTAATAAATTTTATCCTCAAGTCAATATTTCCCATAATAGCTTAATATTTTGTTTATCTAAAGTTTTCTCCTATATTCCTATATATATTACAATATTTTAGAAATTATATAATCACATAACTTACATACATACATTTAAAATTCACAATAAATAAACAAATTATTCACAAAAAAGAAAATCCGTATTTTGTATGTATTTTCCAATCTATTTCGATATAAATGCTAATTACAATATATCAAACAAGTGTTGGTACGGACAACAAACCCAACCGAATGTTTAATATTGACGCAGGACATATGAAATTAAAAATAAGAAGAAACGAGAGGTGCGATGTGGACAGAATTATCTCCGTTTTTTGGTAAAATTTCGCTATTGTCCATTACACATATAGGAAAATCACAGATATAGTCCATTGTTTTTTGTGCTTGCAAAAACATCGTAAGCTTCGGGCCGAGTCGAAGTCATGACGTGGACATTAAAAATACCTAAAATAAAAATACGTACAGCAATTTTTCGAACAAAATTTTCTTTATCGCTGAATTGCATTTCTCACTCGGTGGGTATGTTAATAAACAGAATTTTCGTATTTGGGGTTCGGAGAATCGTCAAGCAATTGTAGAGAGAGATGGGCAGTGGGTAAATACCCGGAAAATTGGGTAAATACTCATTTGTGGGCATTTATTTGGGTATTTACTATATTGAATCCAAAATACAACTTCTTACACCCTCCGGGTTTCTGTTATCAAATCGATTTAGAATGGATAGTTTAAGATACTTTAAAGACGTGGCTTACATTTTTCTAATGTCAAAGCAAATATTGAAATTTAAAATGGGGTCCCTGGGCCCAAGTTTTGGTATAAAGTGTTCTCTTTGGGTACCAAAGTCCATGCAAAAATTTATGTTTGTAGATCCACGTTTACTGGTAGCCCCCATACAAAGGTACCCCTATTTTGAGTATTTACCCAAAAATTGGGTATAAACTCATTAACTGGCAAACCACTTGACAGTCAAAGCAAATATTGGAATGCAAAATGGGGTTCCTGGGCCCAAGTTTCAATATAGCCCCCATATAACCGCACGTCCCGATTTAAGGTATTTTTTGTCTACTAGACACATTTTCCGATCAAATTGGCTGTAATATGACACAAAGGGTTCTCTTTGGGTACCAAATGAATGTATATAGGTCCACGTTTACTGGTAGCCCCATACAAAGATACCCCTATTTCGCGTACTTAAACTCATCAACTGGCGAACCATTTGACATAGGCGGCCAAAAGTTTTGCTTGCATGTTTTTAAAGTCAAAGCAAATATTGAAATGCAAAATGGTGTCCCTGGGGCCAAGTTTTGATTTTACAGAAAAAATAATAATCCTAGTTCATACATGAGTCAGACATTGAATGTCATTGGAATTTTCGGAATCTGTCGTTCCTGTGATCGGAAGTTATGCCGGCCGCAAAAAGGAGGAATTTTCGTTCCCTTAAATTATGTTTCATTCTACACTTAATGTCAACATTCAAACGTTATGACAAACCAGTAAGGAAAGTTGTAAAGTCGGACTAGGCCCTTCACCACTTTGGGTATATTCTACATATGTCTCCAAACAGACTCCGCCTTTTCGAAAGAACATTGACATGACATTGAACAAACTTGAATGTGTGATCTGGAACCTATGCTAAATTTCATTTCATTCGGGCAAGTTTAATCTGAACCGATTTTCACAAAACTCTGCGCACATCATTCTACGCTCAATTCAGTACTACGCTCAATTCGTGAAATCGAAAGATATCTAGGGACTTTGGTACACCATTTCCATTAAATCAGACGAAAATATATATGGGAGCTATATATAATCTAAGCCGATTTTCTCGAAACTTAGCACAAATCATTCTACACCTAATTCAGTACGCTATGACAAATTTCGTGCAAATCGAAAGATATATGGGGACTTTGGTACAGCATTTACATAAAATCGGACGAAAATATATATAGAAGACATATCTTAATCTGAAATGATTTTCTCGAAACTTAGCACACATCATTGTAGACCTCATTCAGTACGCTATGCCAAATTTCGAGCAAATCGAAAGATATATAAGGACTTTGGTACACCATTTACATTAAATCGGATTTAGGAAACTTAACACACAGCATTCTAGACCTAATTCATTACGCTATGCCAAATTTCGTGCAAATCAAACGATTTTTAGGGACTTTGGTATACTATTTATTTTAAATCGGACAAAAATATATATGGGAGCTATATCTAAATCTGGACCGATTTTCAGGAAATTTAACACACATCATTCTAGACCTAATTCAGTACGCTGTGCCAAATTGCGTGCAAATCGAAAGATATATTGGGACCATTTACATTAAATTGGACGAAAATATATATGGGAGCTATATCTAAATCTGAATCGATTTTTCTCAATTTCAATAGGGTTCGTCCGTGGGCACAATAAGTGACCTGTGCCAAATTTCATCCAAATCGGATCATAAATGCGATCTGTACTTTGTTCGCAAAAATACATGGACGGACGGACAGACGGACATGTGTAAATCGATTCAGAAAGTGATTATATGCATATTCTCAAAAGGAACCATGTGTCTATCTCGTTTCCTTTTGCCTGTTACAAACATATGCACAAAGACATAATACCCTGTACCACAGTGTGGTGAAGGGTATAAAAACAAAATTATGTAAATTAATTCTTTTTATCCTTCAAAGTTACAGGTCTTAAATGTAATGCACGTCCATTTTCCAGCCGTTTGAAAATCATAACAATTTGAAATCGAAAATGCAGGGGGTCCCTTAAATGATGTTTTATTTTGCACTTAATGTTCTAACTTTATAAGTTCAGCCATGACAAGCTCGGCCATTGGGGACTATGTTATTGCAATATGTGTTAGATCATGCATTTATCGGATCTATACCAAAACGTAAACGTATATTGGTATTTTTGGCCGAAAAATACCGAATAAGGGGCTACCATTAATAGAAGCCAATAATAATAATTTTAAAAATAACATTTAGGTTGAAAAACGCCCAGAATATCAAATATATTGGGGGGCTACTGTTATATGAGGGCTACAACAAATCATGAGCCAATATTATTAATAAAATTGGATCAATATTGATCATTTATGGTAGAATACCTATTCAGTGAGAACCCGAAATAACAAATAAGGCTGATTAGGTTGGAAAACTTGGCCGAAATCGTCAACATACCAAATATTTGGTATGATTATACCCTCCACCTTATAGCGGAGGGTATAATCATATGAACGCAATGAAGTATCAGATAGGACAGGTTCTCTTCTATAAAGTAATACATAATTTATAACGTAATGCAGACCTTAACATTTTCTCATGACTATAGATTTATTACAAAATCCATCAGATCAGGTACCTTCCCCAAAACCGCCACAATTTTGAAATACAAATAATATTGCTTCATTTAGAAACTAGACAGTGATTCCGCAAACCAAAATGGCATACAAAAGTTAGAATCAGTGTATAATAAAGATGTAATTGGGTGAGAGGGTATGTATCTATCGCCAACTGTTAAAAATTACTATATTCTTGCACATTAATTGTCAGTGAACTATTTTTCACCACAGTTTTTTATCCCATGAAAATCATCATGTTGAGGGAAGTTAAAGTGAGTCATAGACATTCCTTTTCACACAATGCCAAGTCTTCGAAAATCCAAGAATAATTTTTCGACTACAGAAACCGCGGAGGTTTTCATTTCTATTATATGTTTTCGAAATATGTGCATGTTGAATATAAATAACATTTCAATACCACAAACCAATTTCGGTCTTCTTTGTTAGCCGACAATTTAATGGCGAATAATGGTAACATACGTATGACGAATGATGACTCTTCTTGGTGGATGTTAAGTTACTTTCGAAATTGCACGTTTCAATCCCTTGTAAGAACAAAAAAGAAGTCTAACAATGGGTTTTCTTGCAGATAATTCTTTTCGAAAGAAACCACACCATTTGTCTTAAACCAATTACGCAATATTGAATTCGCTGGTATAAATACTCAAAACTTTAGCCAAAATAAGTTAGTATTTTATAATTAATTAAGAATATAAGAAAATGTTTTTGAATATTTTATTGTTATTAATGTCCACTGTGGGCCCTTTGTCAGCCTATGACAATTATAAAACGGAATCGAAGTATGAAACTCAAAGTGCTCCACAATCCGAGTGTATAATGGGCACGGAACCAGTTTGTGGTACAAATGGTGTGGAAAATTTCCTTTTCGAGAACCAGTGTGAATTGAATGATTTCAATGGAAGGCAGCTAAGGGATGGACAGCCGAGTAAGTTAAAATATTTTTAGTAGATATATTTACAGAAAATCTCTCCACAGCGAATATAAGACCAAGATGAGTTTAGAGATATCTTTAATAATAAAAAAATATAATATTGAATAAAATTGAAATTGTTTATTTTTTTTCCAGTTTTAAATGTAACCGCCTTAAGTGATTGCTATCCCTCAACATTCCCCCAAAAAGAAGATGATTATAAATATTGTCCGAAATATTGTAACAAAATCAGTCAACCTGTTTGCGGTTCATATCACAATGTGCAGAAGAATTTTACAAATCTTTGTGAAATGCGAAGATATATTTGTGAGAAAAAAGAAAGTGAGTCCAAAAATCCCATTTAAATAATCCTAACACTAATAATTATACCATTTCCATCTTCTTCCCCAGATTGGCAATTTGTTTCGAATGGTACGTGTGTTTCGTCTTCTTGTCCATCGAGTGATCAAACCATATGTGCCATCTACGATAATAAATTGCAAGAATTTCCTAATTTGGATAACTTCTATGATGATATAAGAGAAACGGGAAGAAGTAAGTATTTTTGTTGTACAATTTTTTTACAAAAAAATCTAATATTTTTTTTTAATTTTTTTTATTTTACATAGATTGGCAAATTGTAAATATGGGCCGCTGTCCTTGCCCATTGGATTATAAACC